CCCCGCCCCGCCCGCGCGGAGTCTCCTCCTCGGCCAATGGGCGGTGCCGCCGCTCCCCCTCCCCCCGCCCCCGGCGCCGTGACGTGCGCGAGCCCCGGGAAGAGGCCGCGGCGCGCGGCGGGAGGAGCGGGCGGGAGCGGGAAGAGCGGAGCAGAGCGGAGCGGCGGTGAGGAGGAGGAGGAGGCAGAGACTCGGCCGCCCCTGAGGTGACGCTGCGCGGGGTGACGGCCGTCCTGACCGCGGCAGCGCCAACGGGAACGGGAGCGTGTCCGCGCCGTCCCGCCCCGCCCCCGGGAAAGCGGCTCCCGCAGCCGCTCGGGGCTGGAGCTCGGCGGAGCCGCGGGGTGTGTGGGGAGGTAGCGGGGCACGGGCTGGCTCCGAGCCTCGGCAGCGCTTTGGGTATCTCCCTGCGATATCCGCAGGCTTCGGGTAAAAAAGCTTCCCCGAGGAGTGTTCTGCGCGTTGCGGTGAGCTGTGCAATGACCTTAACTTTGGTTTGTGGAGTGACCTTAACTTTGTTTTGGTCACTGCCGGGTACCGAGGGTTCGGGTCTGCGAGTTGATGTCATGCCCGAGGGCCAAGTGTCGAAGGAAAACTTTAGAGATCTGAMAGGTCTTGGGGATGAGGTTGTTACTTAGTGTAAGTAGTGTTAGTAGCAGGGAGTTGGAACTAGGTGATCTTTAGTGTCTCTTCCAGCCTAAACCATTCCATGATTCTGAKCTGTGCCTCGCCGAGTCTTTTAAAATGCAAGAATGAACTTGTTATAAAGTGTTGCTTTTCTCCCAAGGGACCTTCTCATTAATTACCAGTGTTTCGAAAGGGAGAAGCTCAAGRTCTCTGAGCCCATTACGAGTACCGTAAGGCGGTCGTGCCTATAAAATCAGGGAGTTTCTGCTGGGAAATCTGTGAATGGGTTTATGACTCTACAAACCTACATCTGCAGTTGTGCTTGTGCATGTCCTCAGAGTGGGGTGAAGGGAGTGACTGTTTACTAATTGAGGAGCGATTTCCTCTTGTGAGAGGGGTGATGAATATCTTGGAGTTATCCTGGCATTGTGTCATGAATGATTCGGTTCTAGCAGAGGTTGGAGGGAAGGTCTGATGCCCTCTTTAGGCTCTGATGTGCTGATAGCTGCTTAGGTACTGTAATGCTGCACCTCAGTTTATATGGAAACTGGAACTCGGGGAAAATGTTTGTTTTCACAGATTTCCCCTAGCAGACTTCTTGTTTTGGTGTGGAAAAGGCTGTGCTGTGTTAACTTAGCCACTTAGCCTATCTCAATTAATAACTCTTCAAGTTAATTGTTTTAATTTTTGTGTCACCCCACACATGACTTTTCCTTCCCCCATCCCAGACTGGTTATTTTTAACTCCTTTCTATTAACCATTCACTGAGATACTGTAACCACTGTGCAATGCGAGGAAGGTGTGCCTTCTTCACCTCATGAAGAAGGTGGAAGTTGTACTGAGACAAGAATTAAACTTGTGGTCCTCTTTTGCAGCTGGAAAACTCACCCAGTTAGTGAATTGTTTGGCGGTGGGTGGTGTTTCTCTCCTGTATGCTGTAAAGCCTGAAAGGAGAATAGGAGACAGCCCTACTAGAGGGACAAACACAGGAAGCTGAGTTCTGAAAACCTCTGGTCATAGTTTTATTTCCGTTTTACAGATGTGCCARCCCCCTTATTCTGAGGAAATCCATCCTTAAATAATTAGCTTTTTTACCAGTGCATGAGTTTTCCTGGCCTGTCTGTAACAGCTCATCTGTGCTGGTGCACGTACACTGTTCTAGCAGCTAAACACATCTGCTGCAGAGTTTGTGCCAAGATGAAAAAATATATCAAGTTTGAAAATGTGGTTACATACATGCCTGTGAGGTTTTCTGGAAAAAATCCGAAAATTGTCCCTGGTTGTAGCTACACCTCCAAGAGATTCTTGAGCTGAATTTTATGGAGGGTGTTCTGGGATATCACTTTGTGACCAAATTAGAATCTCCTTGTTCACTTCTCTTTTTTTTTCCATCCTGCATGTGGTGCTTCAGGTGTTCCCTACTGGCAGCTGTGTCTCCAGCAGTGACCTTTGTCACTGAAACTAGTGTAGTTCCAACCTGATTCTCTTCCTGTTTTTCTGTGCTTAGCACACAACTGTTGTCTGGCCAAGCAGAACACAAGGATCCATTGAGGAAGCTGCTCCTGCAGTAACAACTTGACARGGAAGGGGTTTGGCTCAGGCCAAATATTGCTTTATTTTATTGATTCTGCAAAGCAAACCTGCCACATCTCATGGAAGACAAGTCTTGATTTCTACCTGGCTGTCAGAAAGGATTGCACAGGCTTTTTGGCCTTTTAAAGATTTTGCAGAGCCTTAAGTAATTTTAAATAGTTATCAGGTCTGTAGGGAAAAGAGGAAGGTGTCGGGAGATGTTTAGGTTACGGTAGGGGAACTTGCTTAGTTATTTTGTTCCTGTACTATTTCTAGTAAGGGAAAGGAAGTGTGATCAATGTAAATGACTAATACAAGTCACACACACAAGTGTGTGCTGAATTTCCTCTATCCTTGCTCTGAATTCRTAAAGAAGGGATGAAAATCTATCTTCAATGTCAGAAAGGATATGTAAATGTATTATTGAACAATAAATGAGGATTTTGTCATTAATTATTTTCTCTCCCTTTCTGTTCTAGCTAGGTAACCATGGCAGGTGATGACTGTGTAAGGAAACGCCAGTCTGGCTCCACTGCAACCTGCAAGACCCCTGAGAATGAAGAAACACAGAGGAGAGCTGAGAACGAGAGATCCTTTCAAAACTCCAGCAATGGTGAGACTCCCTGGCTCAGCRCTGGTTGCATTTCTGGCATGTGATCTCCTCTAATGTGCCTTTTCTACTCTGGCTYTGCCTCTTCACTYCTACATTTCTGTTTTTCTGCCTCTRGAAAGGCTGAAGGTAGAGCTCCCTGTGTACCAGCTGCACCCTTTCAGCAGGTGTGGGTTGTTCGGGGTGCTGTCCTGCAGAGCTTTCCCTCAGGAGCTGTGTACTGCAGTGCTTGCGGGGATCTAAAACAGTGATTAATTCTCACAGGAGGAGGAGGTGCATTAATGCTGTAAACAGTGCAAATGCCTCCTGGCAACACTTGAGTAATCCCGGTAAATGCTTTTTCTGGGACTTATGTTGCTTTCTTTGCAATCTTTATGTGACTTCTCAAGATTGAAGAAAACAGTCTTCAGCACACCAGGCTAAGGTGGTGTATCCACCTGACAGGTGGAGGTAGGATGCCACAGAGAATGGTTCTCTGCTGCTGTAGGATTCTGTTCATGTCAGGACAGCTCCCTTTTGTKCAGACTCAACCTTGTCTGCCAGAAAACAGAACAATGAACAGTTAGGTTTGTGTTCATTTGTTTTGTGGTCACCTTAAAAGTTATGTGGCCCAAAGTTGGCTTTGTGGAAGGGYCACTGCTGCCATGACCTGTCCCCTAGGTTGCAGGGACAGTTGTGTGGCACTATGAGTGTTTTTGCTTGTGGACTCTGTGACTCTTCAATTCCTGGTTTATGCTGTACCACATTCCAGCCCAGTGATAAGGAGGTTGGAGATGAAACTGCAACTTGTTTCCTTTCTCTTTGTGAGACAGATTAAGCAAAAAGCTAAAGCAGTTTATYACAGTGTGCCATGTGAGTACAAGATCCAAAACCCTGGTGCCAGTGACTCAAGGAGATAATTCTTACTGACTGATATGCTTCTTGGTATCATCATTATTTCATAGTACTCSTTTCAACTGAAACAGAAGTTGGAGCAAATTTAAGGATAGGACAAATCAGATTTCTTATTGAAAATAAAATGCATTGGGGAGAAAGCCATCCCACAAACTGCTTGGAGAGCTGGGATTTTAAGATGTTCGTGGCACAGTAATTTTAATTGGATCAAATGGGACCRTATTAGAAAATTGCAGGGAGTTGGTGTCTACTGGAACCACTGACAATTGGACCTGGGAGTAGACTTCTACCATTTTAACCTTTTTGTGTGTGTAAACTCTTTAACTGTTGTGAATGAAGGGTAAGTAATAAATAGAGCAATGATAATTAGGACTTGATGGGTAGATGTGCCTGTCTTTAAAGACTATCCATTTTAACACCTCTGAGATGTGGCAAAACACCACTGCAGGTGAGATAACTTGGGGTAGATCTCTTGAAAATGTACCTGGTGGGTTGGCTTGTAACAACGCAGTGGGGTTTTAATCCCACACAAACTGTGGTTGTGGTGAAAGGACAATAGGGAGGTGTCCTGGTTAGTTAAGTCTTTAGTGCATCTTAGCTGCCAAGGTTGCTGCCAATTGAGCAGAGGTGTCACAAAGTGTTACTTCACTCAGCTCTGTTGGTCACAACTGGATTAATACAGGGAGGTAGTAGGTATGAGTCTGATGCTTTGAGGTATGGGACAAACATGCATCCATCCCTCTGGTGAGGAATTCCTCTGTACAGGGGTGTTAAATCAGCAGCTCTGTGACCCAAAGGTTGAAGATCTACGAAGCTGAAGTATTTATGAGTTGCAGACAGTGCGTCTTCATGTAATCCAGGGTGCCTGTGTGACTAGGTAGGGCTTTCACTGCTGAGGTGGGAGAATTTCTCAGAGAAAAAAACATCTATGGCTGATTCTTTTATTCTTCTGTCCTGACTATTCACTTCTGAATAGCTGTTTGTAAGACATTAGTGCTGATGTGCACAAAGGCAGTGTGAGGCTAATGATCTGCTGTCTGGCAACAGCCTTTTTGTGCTGTAACAATTTAGTGCTGGGTGTTGTGGAKAATTTCAGGCAAGATGCATGTTTGTTGAAGTTAAGGGATTTTAGCCAGGTTGAGAATGTATGGAAGTAAATATAGTATCATGTTTGTGGCAGTTATTGCTGTAGAAAAATTAAACAGTTAAGGTGATTACCCACCCTTGATCTTCTCTGATTATAGCAAACACAATGTTTTTTTTTACCCGAGAAGTTATGTCAAGGTCCAACTGAGCTGTTTCCAGAAGTGTGTGAACTTTCTACAGAAACTTCTGGATCTGTTATTCTTCCTTCTTTAAAACTGAAGTTTTGGCTGATCTGAAATTGCTTAGAGGAATAATTTTAATAAATGTATTGACTTAAGAGCTGCAGTAGATCTGACTCTTCCATTTGTGCAGTTGAGGTTACTTTTTTTTTCTTGGCTCCTCAATGCTTCTGAAGACTCATTGCTTGGGTGCTGAGACTGGCTAGTTTGTACTCAGGTACGCCCAATTTTATAGGAGTGTGGAAATATTCATGACTTTGTGATTGCCAGAGGATTTCTTCTGTGCCTTGATTTGTCTCTATCTTGTAATTATTCAGCCTGTAATTTCAATTTGACAGAGTAACTGAATTTCAGTCTGATAGATCTTTTCTCCTCCTTCAGTTGGCTCCAGTGTTGTAATTAAACAACTAATTTGGTCCTGGCTTGGAGTCAGCAGTTGATCTAGGTGGCAATAATCCCCTGTCAAAAGCCAGGCTTCCTTAATAAGATTAGTTTTATATGTTTTCAGCTGGAGATACATAAATATAAAAWTGTTCTGCTAAATGGGATATTGTRYTGGTTACATGGGACAGTACTGATTGCCAGAAGACTCACCTGGAATGAGCATAATGGAAACTGCATGGTCAGGTCTTAAAAGKTTAGGGAGGGCATGGATTGTAAATGTGCATATGAGTGCCTCCAAATTGCTCAGATTAGTCYATTCAGAGCAGTAAAATGGTGGGTTTAGAGTTTGTTCATGTTTCCCCAGAAATTAGAAAAGGACTGGAAGTGTCTCTGGAGGCTGATCTGAAAACAACCTATGAGGCATGTCTGTTTGGTGTGAGTAAGCCTGTTTGGTAATGCTGATCTTAGAAAGGAGCTGTTATCTTCCAGTKAAGAGGTTACTGTCGATCATCCCCTGTGCAAAAGTTCATGGTGATGCACAAATTGTGTGTGCCTACAGAGAGATGGAGGAGGAGGGAACTCTCCAACAGGGAACAATTTGGAAAGCTTTAGCCTTTGCTGTGTGACTCACAGCAATAAGCTTTCAGTGTTTCAACAGACTTCTTGTAGATTAAGCTGCTTGAATTGAGTATCTGGGATGTGTTTCTGAGGGATGGATCAAAAAGAGCAGTTTTGTCTAGAKGGATTCTGGCAATTCTAGGGCCTGTCATGTTTTGGAAGCAGTGGGTGAATGCTCAGCAGTTTTTTTGTGAAGAGCCTGTGGACATGGTAGCTTGATGTAGAGAATGCTCGTCTTCCTCCCTGTTAGTGAAGAGCTTGTTTGGGTCCCATGTCCCTGCAGAGCTGACTTAAGGCTAAATACTTGYCCAGCTGTAGTGTGGTGACCTGTGGCATTCTTTAAACAGATTGGCTGACTCTAGTGATAGTGCCTCTATTTGCTGAGTGGTCAAATCAATTACCATAAGTAAGGCTCATTAGTATCAAATTATGAATGTGTGTTGTAGTGTAGCAATATGGAACTCCTCCCCTCTTTATAGTAGCCTTGCACTTAAATTGGTTTCACCATTGCTTTGCCTCTGATAACATCCTCTCAGCATTTTTGGAGCAGGAGACTTGAAATCCTGATGACTGACAGTACTGAAGTCCTTCTGTCTATGTTTCTCTAACCTATTGAATGGSAAGTTGTCTTATCAAGAAATAACAAAGCTGGTTTTTTTTTTTTGTTTTTTTTTTTGATTCCAAGCTGCAGCACCAATATCATGAGTGATTCTCTGCTCTACTCCTCTCAAATGTCACTTATCTGTAACATCTGCAAGAGTGGGTTGAAATAGCCATCACAAGATCCTTTAGAAAAGGATCAATCTTTTGAAACTTCAGTTGCTCAACTGTTCAGCAATTAAGAAGCTTTCTCAATCTTCAGGTGTTTCTTTTATTAGCTTGGTTTTCATAGGAAAAGTAAAGCTTACAATTAAATTGCTCATTCATTTTTTTTCTGACTTTTGAGCCTGCTTGAAATTTGATTTGTACAGAGGAGTCACATCCTGCAAGAATCAAGCCTGAAGGTCTTCTAAGTATCTTGTTAATGTCCTTGCTGATGGGAAGGTAACCCATCAAGTAAAAACTTCTCCCTATGAACAAAGCTCTTCCAAAGCAAGGTCTGCTTAAGTCTCCTCTGAAATGGCCACTATTTCATACTAGTCTTCAAGGACAACTTTCTTATGACTTTCAGTGTATTTTCTGTCTTTTAAGGCATATGTCAACCACTTTTAAATGCAAAGTTGTGCCTGTTTTGTTGTGCATCCTTGAGTCCATTTTTATATAATGCTGTTGCAATCCCAAAGTRATACAGAGGGATCCAGCTTTCATTTGCAGCGTCAAAGGAAAGTGAAGGTTTGGGCTTTTCAGCAGTGCACATTTCCTTTTAGACTCAAAATCGAGTGATGAATGTCTTCCCCAGTGACCTCACGAACCATAAGCAGCACCTTGTGCAAGGGAAGATGAGCAATTAAAGATTATGTGCTTGTTCTCTGGTATCTGCCTTGTGACACAGTTGGGTTTATGGGGTGATGCAATACAGCACAATGGGTTGGTTTGGGGTTGGTTTTCTTYTACAGAAGATTTTGTGTTGAAAAAACTCAGAGGTGAGTTTATCAGATGAGATGCTCATACTGAAGCCACGGAGATGTTGATTTTAGAACCTGCTGAAAGATGCTGTGTTTCTAATCTTTTCTGTGCATGCACACTGGTATGAGGGTAAATAAAGTGGGTAATAAAAAAAAAGGAGGACACTGCATACAATTTAGCAATTACAGCATCAGGAGGTCAGAGACTGGCCTCATTTTTKTACAATCATTAAAGCTTGTAAAGATTTGGTATATGTAAAACTATATCTAATTTTAAAGCCTCATAATCTAAAGAGTATTTTATTTCCAAAGTGAGCCATGCCTGGGTAGTTTTTAATGTGAGTTTTCAATGACTAAGGCTTCAAAGGCAAGATCTGACAGGAAATATATGGTCTAAGAAATGGTTATTTTATTTTTAGCTTATCTTAAAAAGGAAACAATGCAATTCCTTAAGTCTCATGTGTCCTGTCCTCTTTGGCTGTGTTGGGTGGCTTCAAGTAATCTTGAAGCAATCTTGAAGCAATCTTGAAGATTGACAGCTGGATAAGAAACACAAATTCTTAGCTTTTTTAAGGGAAGGATTAGTTGTTCTTTGAAATCAGCAGTTTTGTTCTGCTTTTTCTTGTGCAGGTCAGCACAAGGTGGTTGTTCCCATAGCAGTAATGAAAGGAGACAGGCAAAGAATACAATTGTGGAGTGGCACAGTGAGGGAGTAGAGCCACTGGGAATATGTGAAGGGGATACAGTTCTGCTGCTTTTGGAACAACTTAATTTATTGTTTTTAATGTATTGGGGGAGAAGCTATTTGAGACCAGCAAAGTGCATGAGCTGAGTGGGTCAGGGGTATCTTGCGTTCTTCTCAACTTTTTTTCCAAACTGTTGTTCAGCAAGTGTAGCAGCACAATGAGTTAAATGCTGAGGTAGGTGTTTATTGTTGTTGGGTTTTTTTTTTGTTGTTGTTGTTGGTTTTTGTTTTGGTTTGGTTTTTTTTGCTTTGTTTTGTTTTTTGTCTTGGAGGTGAGATGTTAAGCAACCAGGAGTTCTATTTTTGTAACTCGGATCTTTGCATGCAGCCAGAATCAATGGTGTTAAGCAGTTTCCTTGTTTGTTGTTACATTAGAAGCCAACTAAGTAATAGGCAGTTGTTGTCTGTCCTTAAGTTTACAGTTTGTGCTCCACATAGACAAAAACCAAAATTCCTCCTTGATTGGTGGGAAGTGGAATTAATGCTGAACTGMGCATAGCTGCACTGAAGGTAAAGTTTTTTGTTTTGTTGTACTCTTCTCCAGTATTGGAACTGGAGTAATTTCTGAAGCAGATCTACCTAAAATACTTAGAACCAGTTGCTCAAACAGGTTGACAGAGACTCCTGAGCATTACAGAGGCACTTCTCTCTCTGAAAATGAAACTGCATTTTGTGTAGAGGCAATGCCCATATGACGAAGCCACCTTGTGCATGGTGCTAGTGCTATCAGTCTTCTTGTCTCACAGCAGCACAACTTTGGCAGCTCTACAGTAAATCTGTTAGCTCATGCTTCCCTGGAATCTTATTAGGGAATCAGTTCAGTACCTTCTTTTTCTAAAAGTGGTAATGTTGTCTTAGGAACCAAATATGCTAGTGGTAATCCTGGCTCTGTGTCAGTGTGTAAGGTGGTGCTGTAGCTATAATTGCTAAAGGACATGTACGAGGCAAGGTTTGTTGCTATCTTTTCACTTTGACTAGTATTTTAGGGGGGTGGATGCTGCTGCCTCAATCTTGYTTTTCCTTCATGTGAAAGACTCTCTGTTTTAAGAAACTTTATCTTCTGTGTTATTCTTATTGGAGAAGTGAAACACCAKCTGGTGCTTGTCCTAAAACTGAACTAGTCTGAAATGTCTGACCTGTGGGTGYTGTTCCTCTTGATGTCAAAGAGGCATCTCAGATGTTTTTAATGTGAAAGATGAATTTGAGGCTTTACCTATTGGCCAATGTTAGTAATGATAAAAGTCAGATTATATTGATGGCATGTTAGGCTTGACTGTTTCCTTAAACAGTAAAACTTATTGAGGAATACAGTACACTGATTGCAGTGGGAGTGGGAATAGCCAGGTTTGAACACAGGATAACTGTCCAGCTTGCCTTTCAGCCTGTCTTAGAGCTGATCATAGTATTTTACTGACAGCTGTGACTGACTGCCTTGTCTGTTGGCAACGTGGAGACCTCCAAACTAACCTTATGTCGGGTTGAGATTAAGCTCTGATAAAAGATCAGCACACTTGGATRTGACCTTCTAAGGGTTGTTCTGATTGCTGCTTCAAGGCTGAATATGTTTAGCGACCTTGGGAAAATTTGCAGAGTTGCTGATGAAAAATAAAATCCACTATGTTATCAGCTGTTGACTGCCTTACATTGCTCTGATCCTAAAATAYGTGGTCATAGTTTATGAACTTCCTGCAGCTGTGATTTGAGTTTAGTGGGATCTATTAGAAGTCAGAAATGCTATTGAAAAATCAGTGTCTGAGCTACTGTATGCTGTGCTTTCTGTGTTTTCAGACATGCAACTAAAAATGTTCAATATMTGCTTTCCTTCCTTAGGCTGGGTTGATGTCGACCACGTGATAACRAGGAAAATGCAGCTAATAGCAGAAGCTGAGGTAAATACAACACTTGCTTGTGGTGGGGAGCAGGACAATTGACCCTGGGTGTCTTTTGGAGAGTCACTAGCCCTAGAACACAAATAGCCCTATTCAGACTTAGGTTGAGTGCAGTGACTTTTCCTCAGGCCTGCTTCTCTCTCCCACTCTGCACAAGAGGGGTAGTGTTATCTAATGAGGTTCTGTCTTACTTGACCCCAAYAGGTTGAAGTCCAAAGATAAGAATGAACTTTGAGACCTGTAAATAAAATGGCARTGCCTTACCACTAACTTTTAGCAGTGTGATGATTAGCCAGCTTGCTTGCATGTTGAGCCTTTCAAATTCTCTGTGTCCTGCTATCCATTGCATAAAGGGTAGCATGGAGCCTGTGTGTCCCACAGCTTCTTCTGCCCTGGCTGTGGAGATGACCTTCCTGAGCCTTGGTCTCATTCTTTTTGTCAGTGAACAGTATCCTCAAAGAAAACAGCACTGCCTGTTTCTGGCATCATCAGCATCAACATCTGCCATTGTCTTAGAYTATATTAAGGTGATTTATGCCCAAATTAAATGAGGTTGGCTAACGATAAACTGCACCCTCCTTGCTAACCATTGTTTTGTGGCACCTGTGTTCTTCAGGGCAAACTGCCCTGCACTCTTGCATCATTTTATTGCAGAGAATTCTGTGGTAAATCTGAAGTAATCCAATTGTGCCAGCTTGACATGAATAGTAGGGAGTGGATACTTAGAGCGCCTTGAGATATTTTCCCCTTTAAGTTTGGTTTTCTCTTCTCCCACCTCTATAAGGTGTGTCATTTATAAAAGATACAACTGAAGTGTATTTAAATTTTAATTTATTTGCAAAGGGTGTGCTGCTTTACTTGCTGAAACTCMAAAAATTCAGCCCATTAGAGGGATAGCCAGCTCAAAATTTTATTTTGGATGTTGTCTTATCTGGTTGATCCTGAGAACAGGAGTTCAAGCCTGGTAACTACTCTCTGCAGACAAAACAGCCACTGTTAATCACTGTGGCAGTGGGTGTTTGCAGGAGAAAGCTTTCACTATAAAGCACATGTGGCTTTGGAAGTTCCAGGGAGCACTAACTAGCTGCTTGCAAGGGGACAACTTGGTCTTGGATTTCTTTCTTCAGGAGTGTCTCTTGTTCCTTATTTTTTTCTCCTGGTCACCAGCTTTGAGACACAGTTTGTAGACCAAGTGACTTCTTACCCACAAAGAGAATCCTGGAAAACCAGCAAGTCAGTGGTTTTAATTGCTGAAGTTTCTCCCAAAACACAGGGAGTTCAGGTTTTAAGCCCAGAGTTAGGCAGCTTGCAGATTTGTTTAAGGTGCCTCAAAGCTGCAGWAATATCCATAGGGCTGAGTTTAAAAAGACCAACCTACTGCAAAATACCTGAGAATTCCTGCAGTGCTGGGCCCTTTTGTTGTGGGAACCACTGAACAGAGGCTTGGACTGCAGTTTATCTTTTCTGTGATAAGTATCTAAATTCTAGGCARATGCTTGACTTGTGAAAAGCCTGGTCAGTGACAGCTCCTGAAGGTTTAAATGGGATTTATAGGAGCCGGGTGTTACTCAATAATAGGAGGCCTTCAGACATCTTCAGTCTGAAAGTCCAATCCTTTGTTCACCCTAAATGGAGTTGACAATGATGTGTTCTGTTACTACGTCAGGGCTGGGTGTTGCCACAGTTTAGTGACCAAAATTACTAAATCTGTTATAATGAGTAAAGTTCTGGGGAACTGTTGCAACTTTATAAGTAGGGTTACTTCCCTCAACTTTCTCTGACTTGTCGTCAATTTTTATTATTGGCCARGCCAGCTTCTGCTTTTTAAGGCATAGCATTCTTTTAATGGTTTTTGGTTTGTATTTACAGTTAGTTACAATTACTTCAGGGTCTGTACTCTGATTTGTATTTTATTTAGTCTGTTACGAACKAATGGCCTGCTCTTGCAATCCAAACACGTGCATGTGTTGGTGTCAGCCCTGGAGAGCTGTCTTAGGAGGAGGCAATCTCAGCAGAGTGCCAGCCAAAGGGCACCTTAAGGAAATATCACCTGCTAAACTTTCACTGAGGAGAGATTAGGCTGAAAAAGGGGGAGACATAAAAAAAAACCCCAGTGTTTTGATGGGAATGAATAATGCTTTGTTTGGCATGGAAATTTGAGCACTCAGAGAGAAGCAGGAATTTCTGTTTGACTTTTTGGTAGGGATATGTGCATGCATGCTGTAAAATCAGGCTGTACCAGAGAGTACCAGTGTCTTCTGTTATATTCACAAGTACTCAATATTTCTTGGGTTTTTTTCCTCCTATTTTAAAAGAAACAAGTTCATACATCTTACAGAAACAATCCTCTGCCTCCCATAAAAGCAATAGCTAAAAGTAGCCAGATCCTAAGAGCTTTGCTGAGCACTGGTGAAGCTTATTTATTATATTTTGGAAGCTGCCAAATAAGAGAAAAATATTTTTTAAGTTAAAACATTAATCTGCTTCTTCTCCTACTTTGGCTTTTGTTTCAAGAGGTCTCTCTGGATCCCACTGCTATAACACAGGAGGAGTGTAGGGTTCTGATCCATCATGACTTCAGGGTCTTCTGCTTGTTTGTGGTCTCACTTCGATTGGTCTTGTATTTTCTGCCAGAGGCTTAAACTTGCTTACTTGGCTGTTGTCACAATAAACAAGAGCATTTTGTAAGAATACATCATCTGTTCCTGTATTTTATAGGATCATGGAGTAGTTTTGGTTGGAAAGGACATTAAAGTTCCATCCCCTGCTGTGGGCAGGGACACCTTCCACTTTTCCAGGTTGCTCCAAGCCCTGTCCCTGCCCTGGGCCTTGAACACTCCCAGGCATGGGACAGCCAAGGCATCTCTGGGCAACCTGTGCCAGGGCCTCTTCGCCCTCACAGGGAAGAATTTTTACCTAACATCTAATCTAAACCTACCCTCTGCCAGTTTGAAGTCATTGCCCCCTGTCTTGTCCTCACAGTTCCTGATGAAGATTCCCTCTCCAGCTTTCTTGTAGATCCCCTGCAGACACTGRAAGGTGCTGTGAGGTCTCCACRTAACCCTCTCTTTTCCAGAAACCTCCTTGAAAACAGCTTGGTTACTTTTCAACCTTCAAGATGAGAAAGAGTTCTTAAGATGATCAGAGAAATACAATATATATGTTTTTTGAGCAGTGGATCAGTGGGAAGACTAGATGAAATAATATTTAGATACCATGTGGGAAGTCTTGGACCTTGAATCTGGAGGCCACCTGGAAAAATCCCAGGCAAAGGGTGATCAGACAACTATGGCTAGTAGATATTCACATAAAGACAAAACATTATCTGCAATTAGATTTTAATTTCTTGGCTTTTACCTGTGCTGAAGATGATGGCTGTCTGGCAGAGCACTCAGGAGCTCAGGGGGTCGCTTTCAGCTGTGCTTCCTCCCTGGGTTTCTCACATTGGGTCTCTGAGGACCGGACATTAATGAACTGAATTCTCAGAAGTCTGATAAGTCTTCTAAAAGGCCAGAGCAATTCTGTGTTGAATCCGATGGAGAAGATAAATGTTATTCAAAGTCCTCTGGCCTGAGGTCCGTGAACAGGCCAGGATAAGCTCCTGGTCTTATCCAAGTAGGCTCCAACTGTTGGCAAATGGTACAGAAATGTTTTCTTGGTGCCTTGCTCTTGCCCATTCTGCTCCAGGATAAAAYGTAACATAAATATTTTATGAAAATATATCCAGGAAGTTAAATAGTTTACTATTGTGTTTTTACTCTGTCAGCAACTGAAGCCAGCTTTCATGAAGGAGGTGGACAGTCACTTCACAGAGTTTGTGAATAGTTTAGTGGCAAAATCAGCACTCTTGGATTCCTCATCTCCAGCCTCTGTTTTCCCAGCCTCCAGCACGGACAAGGAACTTCACAAAGCCAAGTAAGTCCCTTTTAAGCTGTTGCTGTAACAAAGTTACATGTCCTGAAAGATTTATTTCCATTTTTGTCTCAAATGTTCTCTTTGTTTGCAGGAACTCAAGGGCCCCTCCAGAACATGGGAAAATCTTTACTGCCAGGAGGTCCCTCTTGGAGTAAGTAACTTCATCAAATTAATTTCATCAAATTGACTGAAAATACCCTTGACAGCAAACTAATGAGCCTTTGCTTTGAGGTACTTTCCCACCACCACCCACGGTCTTTTGTTCAAATCCGTGGGGACTAATCAGTTCAAGCTTCTCTCTTTCTTACTAAAATATCTGTACTACATCTTGCAAATATAAACCTTAATTACAGCCCTCTCAGTACCACAGGGATCATGGCTAATTATCCTTTGTCTGAGGATAAGCTGTGGAGGTGTCTGTGTCTGTGGCACCCCAATTGTACCATAACTGTGGTTTCTCCCGTAGTGAGCTGTTTGAAGTGAGTCACATCAGGACRATCTACCACATGTTCATCGCTCTCCTCATTGTCTTCATCCTCAGTACACTTCTAGTAGACTTCATTGATGAAGGAAGGTAAGGATGTTTTGCAATGACAGGGATAAGGGCTGGGAGTAGTTCTTTAGAATGTCAGATGTGCATGAAACTGCAGAATGGTGCAGAAAGAACGGGCAGTCCTTCCTGGGATGTTGTTGGAAGTGTGGGTTTTAACTTGGCATACTGAGAAGACATACTGGAATTCCTGTTGAGGGAATATGATAATTTCAATTCAGATAGCTGAATATTAGGAAAACACTATTAATTAATTAGTTGGGGAGAATTGTGGCCAGCACAGTTCAGCCTCACGTGCTTAGTTCATCATGAGGCTGGCAAAAGGGAATGTGGAATACTTTAGCTGAATATCTTTAATGATACAGTAGCTTTCGTCTGCTGGTGTTGTTTGAAGGACTCTGTTTAGAAAAACTTTAAATACTTCAGCAGTCCTTCCTCTGTTTAAAAATGACAGTTCTGGAACACTGTRCTTGTACTTATATAAAAATAGAACTTTGTTTTTCCTGGGGAAAAATCTCAAGGATGYTGGCACAGCCTCTGCTAAGATAGTGCTTTGCAGGTAGCCAGTTGTGAACAAGATTGTGAAAGACTGCTTTCCTCACTCTTACTTGTTGCTTAAATAGTGTTTTGGCAAGCTGTATCTCATRTACACAAGTAGGATTGCATGTTTATCTTGCTGTTTATCTGCTCTTCAGTGTACAAAACCAGAGTTGTATCTTGATTATARTCATTGTCCCTTTGACCTGGGTATAAGAACAGGCTCATGGGCTACTGAATGTTGTTCAGCTGACCTGAACTTACTAATTTATGGAAATTGGGGAAGAATGGGAATTTACCTTAAAATCAACTAGGGCTGGATTCCCTGATTAATTTAAAAAATAGTATCACTGGCTTTAGCTARCTCTGATAATTTTGACCCAATTGAATTTTCACCTGAGAAGATATAATTTTTGTTGATGTACTCTGTACTGTCATCTTCTCTGATCTTAGTTTAGAAGACCTGCTTGTTGTTGGAGCAAGCTCTGGTGAGTGTGATAGGCAGTAAAGTTGAACATCCTTTTTTGTTTATGTCCTTATGTTTTAAGCTWGATAATGGACTAAAGCACCTGTTACATACCAGTTGGTCATATTTGGTAATTTCTAAACCAAATCCATGTGGAACGCTTATAAAGCAGTATTAAACTAGGTTTGAGTGCTGGGTGTTAAAGTATCCCATGCCTATAGAGACGGGAAAAAAAGCCTCTTTAGGTTTTAACCCCTGGAAAGAACTGAGCCTCACTGCAGTAGTGGTGATGTTCTGAGAGTGTTCCCCAAAAGCTCTTGGGCACCGTGGTTCAGCGGTGGATTGTTCAGTCACGTGCTTGTTCTTAGCAGGGATGAGCTTGAGCCTTCTCTTAAAGCACATGCTGCTCTTAGAGATGTGCTTAAGCCCTGTGGGATTTGAAGGTAACCTGTGCCTGACAGCACTCATGGCATCAGTCCTTCTCTTATTTTCTGGGAGACTTCAGGGTGGCCACTTGAAGCCACCACAGAGAGTCYTCTGCTTCTGAGCTGAAATTTCCAGTCACTTCTATCCAGACTCAAACAATTATGATCTGAAAGCTTTATGTTTTGTAGCCATTAGTGGAATTGAAGTATATCTGATCAAACAATGGTCACTGAAAATTGTCTCTTTCCTTGTGCCTTCTAGGCTGGTCCTTGGATTTGATCTCCTGGTCTTTGTTTTTGGAAAGTTGCCAGTTGTCTTCTGTACTTGGCTGTGCATGTTCAGTGCCACAGTAGTTATTCCATACAACCTTTATGTCTGGTGGGCCCAAGGCTATTCCAGTTCCTCCCATCGTGCAATCCACTCTTTTTTCTATGGGATGCTGCTCACARTCTTCCAGATAGCTGGGCTTGGGATTGGACCAACCTATGTTGCTGTGTCCTACGCCCTGCCTCCAGCTTCCCGCTTCATTGTCATACTGGAACAGGTAAGTCCCTGCCCTGTATCCTAGGATACATTGAATCTGATTCAACATGGAAAGGGTTCTTTTTGCTAAAGGAGTCAAATGTTACTTCTCTGGTTTAATCTAATCAATAAAAGTATCTCTGAGGCTTGAGGACAGAGTTACATGCAGCAAATCTAGTAAGAGAGAGCAGAAAATAAACTTCATTTTGACCTGGAAAGCACTTGTGGGTTTTTACTCTGTATTTAAGATTTTACTGTGGGCTTTTACTTCAAGGCTGAAATTCCATTCATTTCTGGTTGTCTTGTGAATGTAAAATGTTTAAAACCAATTTCAAGAACATATTGTGCTGTAGTGCATGAGGAAGCTGTAACATTCCTCTTTGAAAAACAAAACCCAAAAAAAGTAAGTACATAGTCAAGAAGTGGTTCCTGTTCCCATTTCTGTTCCCTAGAAGCAAGTGTCTTGGCTCTGTAGTCAGAACTTGTTTGGAAGTGGAATTTTTGGTGGTCGGGAGCGGGGGAGGATTGCAAGAGTGGAGGTCTGGTCAGACCATCAGGTTGAAACAAAGATGGTCAGAAATGAGTGTGATTTTAAGGATCAACCTTGGAYTGACCCCACTTTTGGTTCTTAAGTATTAAAACAAAATTTTAATAAAAAACTTGCTTGACAGCTGTGGGCTGTTTATGTGAGGCACCACCTTAAACCCAGGTAGTGATAACTGCTGCATAACACATGTAACTTTGAGGAGTCATCTAGACTTTGAGACATTTCAGCCTATTGAAATGGAGAGAGGCTTCCCTTCAATTTTAAGTTAATGTTAGCTGATTAGTGATTTGCTGGTGTTATTCAGAGTCCTTGTGTATGTGGTGGTCCTGCAAGTATAGATGAGATGTGTTTTGACTCTTCTGAGCCATAGTTGCTGCTGCATGTTTCCCTTTGCAGAGTTTGAAATTCATGTCAATTAAACAGGCTTGTGGGCAGAGGAAGCAGCCCTTTCCATGTAAAAGGGCTAAATTGGAAAGAAACCAAGATGCTGAAGGTGTTGCTCTAAAATGCTTGATCCAGCATTTATTGGAAAGTTGGGAAAATGAGAGCACTAAACTGCTTTTCTCTTGGCCTTACAGGTTCGTTTTATTATGAAGACTTATTCCTTCATCCGGGAGAATGTACCCAGAGTCCTGTCCTCTGCAAAGGACAAGTCTGGTGAGTAACCTATCCTGCTTCATTTGACAGCAGGGCACAGCCACTTCTGGTTTTCCCTCCATTGCTTTGAGCTGTCCTTGTGAGCAGGAGAGTGGGATTTGAACAGGTGACTTTGGATGGGGAGGTCAAAGGTTGTGCATCACAAATTCAGCTGAACCTTTTCCTTTGTGTTCTGTTGTATTAGACAACAAGCTAGACTGTTGTTCACATCTAAGTCCTCTCTGGATCTTAAGTTTTTGTCTCCAGGACTCCTTCATTTCTGCTTCTGAGAGCAAAAGGTGTGCAAAGGTTGCCTGCACATTTCCAGCTCAGTGCTCTAGGTGAAGTGACAGCATTCATAGAACAAAAGGTCTTTTAAGCAGGGCATACTAGAGCTGACTGGACTGACCCCACGTTGATACAGGCCTTGGAGCTTTGCCTAGGAGGAAAGGAACTGTGATTCCAAGGTGTTAGCAGATAATTAGTTACCCTGACTCCATCTGAAAAGTCAAGTTTGTTTCATTCTCTGCAAATCCCATACCTTTAGTTCCAGGCTGAGGTTTGTGAGGTGAGAAGAGTTCTGTGTTGTGAAACGGTACTGGAGAAACCAAATTGTTAGCAAAAAGATTACCAATTGTTCTTTTGTTTGTTTTCTCCTCTTTCCAGGTACAGTACATATTCCCAGAATTTCTCAGTACCTGTACTTCCTCTTTGCTCCCACCCTCATCTACAGAGACAGCTATCCCAGGTAATGTGAGCAAMAACAGAACATTAAAGTAGTCTGAAAACTGAAGCCAATATTAAGTGCCCCTGGGTGTGATCAGTTTACGAGTTAGAGCTTCATAAAGATGTGGTTAAGCTGTCAAGGGCTCATGGAGTTCTGCTTTTATTTCTTTGGTAAATGCACTTGGAGTTTAGGAAATTAAGACCTTGCTACAGATTATGTAGTGATAGACAGTTCCTGCAATAGGCACTTGTGTGTTTTATGTGGTGCTAATAAGGAGCCCTGTCTCTGAGTGAGGCTGAAGCCTTTAAAAATGGGAACTCCCAAACTCTTCTGTACATTGCTGGGTTGCACTATGGCAGTGTGAAGTCAGCAGTCCTTTACACAACTGTCAGCAGATCCCCACCTCCTATGGAATTATGCAGTGCTGCCCTCCAGATTCCTTTCCATTTATGGAATTGCTGGAGTTCTGCTGGAGTTGAAAGTGAGGATCGAGCAATTTGGGTGGAACATCCCTTGGACGTCAGGAGATTAAGAATTCTGGAATTCAAAAGCCATTTTTTTCAGAGAATGYGTCAGTCAAATTGTAAAATCCATCAAGTAATTGAAGGGAAGAGTTTGCTGCTTTGAGGTCCTATTTAGCTATGATATCATGTTCTTTTTCCCAGGAATCCCACGATAAGATGGGGCTATGTAGCCACCAAGTTTGCACAGGTGAGTTGTGCAGCTTTCTGCAGAATACATTCTTGGAGATAATCCGTGTTTCTCAACAGCTCTCCCTTTGGCATTAAATCATTCTACTTGGCGTGGGCTTACCAGTAAAGAATACTTTTTAGTGACTAACAAATAAACTGTGATCTTGCTGCACTAATGGCTGTGCCAAAGAAAGAAAAAAAATTTAAATCTTTTCTTAAACAAGCCTCCAGATAAAAAAGTCTCTGTGTGTGTAGAGCAACACCCATGCACTGGCCCTCTTTCTTCACCTGATTGTAGTGCACTGGCACAGCTTCTTCTCTGCAGATATTCAGAGCAATTTGGAAATAATGAGGCCTGGAGTCCAAATCCTCAGTACTTATTTGAGTTCAGGGTTGACTGGTTCTTCGCATTTGTGGCCRTGAGCTTCAGTAGCTTCTTGTGGATGTGTTTCCAAGTAGTGGATTTGTGTGATTGAAATCTGTACTATCACACAGTGCATTCATGGTTTAAAGGGCAAAACAATTTTAAAAAAAGGCAGCATGAACAGGCTTTTGGCTGCTTGCTGTTGGAAAAAGAGGGTGACAGAGCACACATCTCCCTTACATCAGAGTATTTAAACAGTGACTTGCATTTTTACCTCATCATCCTCAACAGGAGTCATGAGCCACAGAAAGCCTGAGATGCTTTCCTCTCTAAATGTCTCCTTTGGGATAAAAGAAAAATGTTATATTTAACTACAGTATTTTCCAATTATTTCTACCCTTACCTTGGATGTAGATCACAGGGTACTTTCCCCACTTTGGCAGTGGCATGKATTCTTTGTGTCAAAAACTTGTGAGCTGATAGGACTGGGAGAAACTGACAGCTGTTGTAGTGGAAAAGAGAAGTTGATTTTGCTTCTGGCTGTCAGCATGCTCCAGGGATTGCTATGCTTAYTTTCTGCCTGGATCTTTAGGGAGGCTTATTGGCAGCAATGAAAAATAAATTATTTTGGCTTGTGTTGGCAGCTGCTGTTCTCTCCTAGAGCTGGCAAGTGATGATGTGTTAATTGTGCATTTTTCTTATGAAGTCAGGTTTTGGGTATTTTTGTTCCAGGTGCTTGGTTCACTTTTCTATGCCTACTACATCTTTGTGAGACTTTGCATTCCTCAGTTTCGCAACAGTAGTCAGGAAACTTTCAACCTTCGAGGGCTGGTCCTCTGCATCTTCAACTCCATCCTGCCAGGTAAGGCCCAGATCCGTGAGTGACTTACCTTTGTGGAAGAGGTGGAAGGGAGATGTGGTTCATTTGAGAGGTGTTCATGACAGGCAGAGATCAGCAAAAATCTTCTTGTGGGCACACTTCAGCATTAAGGGGTAAAACTTCAAAATCAGCAGAACAAAATAAAAGCTGGGTTTGAATTTAMCTGTCTTCAAATCAAGCTGCAGGCTCTGGGGCAGCCCTGCTGTTGCTCTCTGGGGTGAGTAGGGCCTGGTGTGGTGAGAAACTGAAATGCTGTTGTGCTACCTGTACAAAACTAAAGTTCATCTGTGTCAGTGCTTACAAGAACAGTTGTGACTGTGTAGGTGCTCTTGCTTATGTCTGAGACAAAACACTCCAAAACTGGTCTGGATATCCCTTGTTTCCAGGTGTGCTGATTCTCTTCCTGGCATTCTTTGCATTCCTTCACTGTTGGCTCAATGCATTTGCTGAGATGCTGCGCTTTGCAGACAGGATGTTCTACAAGGTAAGAAGCAGGARCTAGAGTTTATAAAACTTCTGAAAGTCATTTTCCTAATGAAGAAAAGAGGAGGAAACTGAAGGTTGTTTTACCAAACAGAGATCCATGGGATTTTGCTTGGTTTATGCTATAAAGGCTCAAGTTGGCTGGTGTGCTGTAAGGTGAAAAACCCTGAACACAAACAGAAGCAGCCACCAGACTTACCCAGTAACTCCATTAGCCCTCTTTTTGTTCATTTGTCATGTCAGCTGCTGCAGTTTGGGATAAAATCAAACCTTAATATACCAAGCAGAATGTTGAAAGTGCAATGGAAATCTTGGTCAAATTGTTGAAATAGCTTGGTATTATTATGTTCAATATTTTTCAATTTGCTGTCCCAGAAAAGCCCTCTAGAATGCTTTATGCTTCATTAGAATTACAGTCTTTCAACTGTGCTTTCAGGACTGGTGGAATTCCACATCCTATGCAAACTACTACAGAACCTGGAACGTGGTAGTACATGACTGGCTCTATTACTATGCCTACAGGGACTTCCTTTGGGTAAGTAACAAGCAGATGTATTAATTTGTTAAACATTTAACTACTGGGCAAAACAGTACATTTGTCAAGGTGCAGCATCCCTGTCTGTTCAGAAGCACAAAAATGTTTAATGTCAGCAGTTGTGGGGCGCCACTGGTGCTTTTTCGAGAGATCCATTGCTCATTTCCAAGTCCTTAATGTGTGCAAAACGAGGGTCTGAGATGTAGGAATGGAGGGATTGACTCAGCAGACAGAACTCACATTGCACTGTTTCCATGAGCTGTGGTAGGTATTTAAGGAGTGGGCTCAGCACAAATACTTCTGCAGGGGACCAGAAATATACCTGAAGAAAAACACCTAAACACCAAGGTGCTTTGTAAGGCACTTAGCATTTCATACGTGCCTCTTGGCWAGAGGAGAACCTTCTCAACTCAAGAAAAAAACTCAATGTGTTGCAAAAATCAAACAAATCTACAGCAGAGTAGCTCCTAATACTTGGCATTCTCCTCTCTYCCAGTTTTTTGGTAAGAAGTTCAAAGCAGCAGCCATGCTGTCTGTTTTTGCTGTGTCAGCTGCTGTGCACGAGTATGTCCTGAGCGTCTGCTTTGGCTTCTTCTACCCAGTCCTCTTCTGCCTGTTTGCATGCTTYGGAGGTAAGTTCCAAGGCACAGAGTGTGGGAGTGGGTGTGGGGTTAGTGGCTTTTTTTAGAGAAGGATACTTTGTGCTTCTGATAGCGATGCCAGGGTGGTAACTGAGTCCAGGCTTTGTGAATGGATTTTTGCAGCTCAGTAGGTACACACTTGTATACTCACAGAGGATTTGSAGGCTTGGGGCTTAGGTGATCAATGTCTTGGTGGAGAGGAAGAGAGCTCTATGTGATACACTCTTGATCTGGTGACACTGCACAGAGTTTAACAGCACTGCTTCCTCTTTGCCAAGCTGTATTTGAATTGCTGTGTGTCAGCAGCCTGTCATTCTTCCTCTTAAAGTCACAGTGAAAGGCAAGTGTTAGTTTGCTACTGTGGTGAGGAAGAACCCATTTAGAAGTCAGAACTCTTGCATTTATTTCTGTTTGGGTTTTGAATTAGAGGGCTCTAATAAACTCTAGGCCATCCCTGCYGTGCCTTGGTGACCAGGGTAGCACAAACAATATTGATCCGCACAGGCACACAGCCAGGCCAGCTTGTTGGCAAACTGACTTGAAGTAAATGTCAGAATCAGCTTAGAATGTTTGCTTTGTTGCCAAGCATAATCAGATTTTCACAGAGCAGCCTTTTTGCTCCAGAGATGAAGTGAAGGGAGGGGAAGCTCCAATGAAAATCAGTTGTTTCTGAACAATGCTTCTTTCACCTCTTTCAAGTGGTCTTCAACTTCACCCTGAATGACAGTCGGAAAGGGCCCTTCTGGAATGTGATCATGTGGACTTCCCTGTTCCTGGGCCAGGGTGTCATCATCTGCCTCTACAGCCAGGAGTGGTAYGCCCGGCATTACTGCCCCGTGGAAAATGTGAGTGCCTGGCCCTTCCTGTGGGATAACCAACTGTRGGAGTGGCTGTCCTGTCTCTTTGTGTGGGAAGAGTAAAAGTTAAATAGCCTGAGCCTTTCTGGGAGGGTGCTGCATCCATTCTTTAGAATTTATTCAGCCTAGGGGTGCTGAAGTGCTTTCAGTAGTTCTCTTTCTATGCTGCTGGTATTTCACTGCTTAAAACTGAGAGTGGTATGGTGTTCCCACATTTCTGAGGATATGCTAGACCTTATTTAGGCTGTGGCAATGGAACTGTAGCACTTGGCCAGCAAAATTAGGAGAAACTTTTGTAGGAGGCCCACAAAAACTGCATCTCTTGTGCCTCCGCTAGGTTAGACCGGTGGTGGTAGGAAGTGGTTACCTGTAAATAGTCATTTTTGGGGGTTTGGTGGTGTTTTCTCTAACTCATTTTCTTGGTGCCAGATTCTGTCTAGATAAAACTTCCTGCTGTCTAGTTGAYCTCAGTTGTAACCAAAGGTATCCTTAGGCAGCTTCCATTTTAAGTTTGATTCTCCTCAACTAAGAGTATGCCATCATAAATTCTTGGCTTTTTGATACAACATGCTACTAGGCACAATGTTTACCTGATGCCTCAGAACTTGGGCTGTAGCTACACTTCCAGGCACTGTTTAGTGAGGGCAAGAACAGGGTTGCAGGGTGCAGAAATGGGGTTTAATCTTTCCTGTTGGAGAAGTTTGGCTTCAGCAGCTCATAGCACAGCTGATGCTGTTGGCCTGTGACTAATTTGCTGCCTCTCCCATGTTTTGCAGCCCACGTTCCTGGACTATTTAAAGCCACGCTCATGGTCRTGTCATACGAAGATGTGAAAATGGAGTGCTCTGGCCATGTCATCACAGAAAAACAGAGTTGTCCTCCAAGTATTTGGAGCAATCATTTAACTCACTACAGACTTTTTCTAAGGGAAGCTATGCCTCCTGATTATTGGGGAGAAACTGTAATTTTTTAAAATATTGCTGGAGCAAACCAGTTGACCTGGATTGCAACAGACTTCAAAGGCAGCATCTATTASATGCTGTCCCACTTTGAGCCATTCCCATGCCAGTAAAACATTGAGCTGAAGGTGGAGTCTACTGGAATCCTACACATCCAGGAGTCCCCCTCAGTTGCTGCTTTTCTGGACAGCAGGCAAGYTAGTCAGATTTGCAGGTAGCTCATTGTTGGTATCTGTCCATCTTCCTTAGCCAACTCTTTCCAATTTTTTTCTCCTTTTTCCTAATGGGATGTCTACAAAACTTCTGTTTTTCATGATCCTGCCTGCCACTGTGACACAGACAAGTGGCAGAGCAGCAGGGTATTTGCCTCCTTGCTCTGAAGAGGGCCAAAGTATTCCTGCCTGGCTTCAAACTGCATCCTGTGTATGTTGGCTGCCAACACATATAAAACAGGCAAAGGAAGAGGGATTGTCACTGTGCTTGTGGCTGCATTGCAGAGTCAGGTTTAGAAGCGCAGGGCATGGTGTGTGCAGTCTTTAWATGACTTCTTACAGCAAAAATTTTTGTATTCATTTAATTCCCAGCTGCCTGACAGTGGTTTTGTTCTCTGAAGGCCTTTGTGACTTGAGGAGTACTTTTTCTTTTTGCTCCTCCTTTCTCCTGCTCTAGATAATCAATTCTTTTAACATGATTAACTTGTAAAAGAGCTTTTGCTTTAATTTGSCAGGTGCTTTAAGGTATACAGGTTRTTAAGGGTTTCTTTACTAAGWAAAACTTGAAATACCATGACCCAGCTGTAAGAAAATGGGATCAGCTTTACAGGTACAGAGCATGATCTCGTTTGAAATAGCCATGTGCAGTTCAGGGTGCCAGCACACCTTGCCCATGTCTGTTGTAATGCTGCTGGGGAAGGAGGATTGGCCCAGAGCTGCTTTGTCACCTGCCTGTGTCTGCCCTGYTGTCAGAGGGGACTGCAGGTGGAGGTCAGCTTTCTGAGTATTGCCCTCTTGGTGAAGAGCTGGGACATCCTCCCATACACACCAATCAAGGCAGGGGCCTTGTGTGAGTTTGGTGTTTCCACAATTGTTAATGTCCCTTCAATTCCCTTGTTCTCTCAGCTGCTAAACACAACAAGGAACTCACAGAGCATCTGGCTACAGATCACTCCAGTTTTACTGGAACTCCCATTATTGGAGATGGGCTCACCTGATGGAGGTGAAAAGGGCCACCTGATAGAGATACCTGAACTTGGGTGACAACAATTTTAGAATTACTCAACTGTTCTCTATTGGCAGTTTCTGGTAACAGCATTTCCTTACTACTTATTTCATACCAGCAGTATTGGGACCATTGCTGGACTGGTCTCCCAAACCACTTCAGGCTCTCATTTAGGCTTCTGTTTTCACTAACCTGAGTCAGAAGTAATTTCATGAAAGCTAGGAAATCCTTAAATTCCTCCAAGACTTCAGTCTTCTGTAAGAAGAAATCATGCTCTTGAGAAAGGCCATTGTACCAGGTCAAATTTGCCAAATTGTGTTTTCCGTGTGAGGTTCTCTTCTGGAAACATCTTCTGCTAAAAATTGTCTGATGAAATGGTTGAAGTAATTTCAGAGGAAGGGGTTCATGTGTAAACTCAAATTGGGCAGTATTAGTATATAAAATCCTGAGAATTAAATGGATTACTTTTTCCTCATTCAGCTTGAGTAACCTGAAATCCTTCAGTGTACCTTTTGTGGGAGGAAAGAACAGAAGTTCTGGAACAGCTAAGCTTCCTTATTGAAAGAAACAGACAAAAAGACAAAAAAACACCTTTTGGCCAAACAGCTTTTTCGTCTCCTTAGTACAGAATGAGATTCAGTCTAATTCTTTTTTGTTTGGTGCTCAAAACACTTACAGAGGTAACTGCACTCAAAAGAGGGTGTGATGGATTAGGGGCTTGGTTTGCCATCTGGATGCCTGTGGCAGGTCTTGATATCAGTGTTGCCAAAAAGAGACCAAAGGATGGCACTTTGTGCCTTGTTTTGGTGTTTCTCTCACACCTGGCACTGKCATATGCCCAAAAGGAATATCAGCATTTATTGTGTCAGCATCCTCACTGTTTGAAACCTGAGGGCTTGAGCATCTGACAAGGAAGAGGCAACTGAACGGAATGTTCAGTTGTTGGAACTAGTTTTAGTTTTTGACAAGTTGAGGTTTTCAGCCTTGTAGATCAAGGCATCTGGCAACTGTGCTGCCAGGGCATTAACAATTTGGATTACTTTCAATTTTGTGGGTTTTTTTAATTGCTTTTGAATGCGGGCTTATTTTCCTTTTTCTCAAGAGTGCTGGAGGGGAAATAGAAATCTTTTGCACGTTGCTTGTTTAATTAAGAGTCAATTATACCATGTTTTAATTTCTTAGACTGCAAGTGCCAGAACTAGCAGGGTGATGTTCTGGTCAATGGTGAGGATGTGAAGGTGCCCAACCTGCCCATTATGAGCTCTTAATACAATGTAATRTAATATATACTGTTTTCTGTGGTTCTTTCCCACACAAGAACTGTGAGCTTGCTTCCATGGTAACTCCCTCAGTTGTGAGGTGGGAAGCCTCCAGCTTTGGAATGGCAGCCAGTACAGCTGCAGCTCCTTGCTCAATAACCTCACGAAAATCAGTGTTAGTATGGCGAAACACGTCCTGGTTTTCATGCAGAAAACAATGTGTTCTTGGGAAGACCAAAGCTCCACGGAGTTCTCGTGCCTAGTCCGTCCTTCCTTTTGGGGTGTGTGGCTGCCAGCCTTGGGGCTGAGGCAGTCCTGTGTCTGAGSTGTGACTCTGCTCTGCTGTGACAGCCGTGTGTGCCATGTCCGTGATGGGAGCTGGGGCAATTCTGCTGGGTTTGTTCAATAGCAGATGWCATGGATTGCATCTGGCCAGCCCACTGAAGGCAAACTGTTGGAGCTCCTGCTTCTGAAAGCAGATGTGCCAGAGGGACAGCAGATTCCAAGAGTTCCCGTGCTCCGTGGCATCAGAACAAGCTCCTGATGGACCCCCAAGCCAGCCCTGGCTCATCCCTTGTCCCGGTGTCCCCAGCCACGGTGTCCTTCCCTGGCTGTGGCAGGGGACACCCAGCACTGGCCCTGGCGCTGGCACCAGCCGTTCCACCATGTAACCTGTACCRTGTTCTGTCACGCACAAGAGCTGTTTATAATCTACTGTATTACAGCAGTTAAAATATATTTTGCTATTAGGGGAGGAAAAAAATTGCCTTGGCCTGTTTTTTTTTCTCTGAGGTTCCTGGGTTGGAGGGAGTTACAAGAGGGCATGGAGRGTGGGGCTGGGGGCAGAGTAACATGTGTGGGGTTTGTCTCCTGGGAAGGGTGGCTGCTGTGGGGAGATGTTGGGAAGAGCTTGTGAAGGATGGGAGGAAGGAAAGCCTGAAGTTGCCATGGCTGCCTCCTGGATGGAATTGCCAGTGTCTTCTTATTTTCCAAGGGCAGGGAGGGGAGAGGGATGGAGACACTCATGCCATGGCAGACCCAAGCTTAGAGGCATCAGGCAGGATCACAGGATGGTAAAGGAGAGATCCTGGTTGGGTGTGTGGGGAGAAACGTTTACACAAGCCCTGCTTGAGGGCCTGGAAAGCAGCATGGAATGTCCAAGGGAAATACCTGGTGAGAAGGAAAGCTGGGATTCCCTAAGCTTTGTATCAGCCATTGCTTCCCTGTGAGGGGAAAGGACATTCTGGAAGTGTGGGAGAGGAGCACAGGAAGGAATCTATAGCTCCTGGAGCAGACCAGAACCTCTCACCTCTCCTGATTTAATGCACATCAGATTGCAGCAGCTGCCAAATGTTTATCATGTTSGTGATTTCTGCCTTTATTTTGGGCYTRAAAAGGGTTTGTGAGCCAAGAACTTATTGTGATATTTTTCCAGCTGTGTACCACATGCTCCAAAGTCCTGTCTGTGTCCTTAAGCTGTAACAGCTACAGAACAAGGCCGTTCATCTTCCCATTCTCTCTGGTGGGAATGATAAGTACTGCCAAAGAGCTGTGACATGGAAAACAAAACTTCTGTCAAAAGTTTGTAGCAATTTTTTGTATTTCCAAGAAACCATCTGTGCAACAAGACAAGCAACCTGTCAGAGTTTCTCCTAAATTATACCTATACCCAGAAACATATATCTGAAGGCAAAGACATGTAATTAACCTAATTAAAACCCACAGTACAAGGATAGAGCTGATAAGGAGGTCAAAAAGTCTTCATATCAGAAGCATTTTTTTTTWAATTACACATTTGGCAAGGTTGGAGGGGAGAAAGGCTTCAGAAGATAATTAAGGGCGATTATGAGACCCATGGAATTTTTTTTTCAATAGTAAGGTTAGTGCTAAGATTAATCATTGGTAACAGATAGCATTAATTCTGGGCCAGTCAGATCTATGAAAGAAGCAGCTGTGCTTCGTGCAGTTCGTAGGTGGAAACCCAAGTGCCCTTTGCATTGCAAAGCATTGGGAGCTCTGAACAGCACAGAATGTCAGGTGTAAGGGCAATAGAAGGGCACAATAAATAATAGCAAAAAACAATCCCTTAACACTAGGAAGTACAAATGTGGGTTTAATTCTACTACTAGACCATTCACTACTACAAATTTTCTTGGCTAAGCAGGTRACTTGTCATAGGCTTCCCCCAAGATCAAACAACCACTAAACATGGGATTAGCTGCCTTTGGTTTACATCCTGCCTTGGGTAARGGACCAGGAATTTTGTCACAGATTTTCTCAGCCCCATATTTTATCATCAGTTTTGCTTTCTCTTTCACCAGCAAAGTAAATGCTGTTGAAATGATTCTGATGTGCTATCCTCCAGAGATGCCCAAGCCGAGGGCTACCTTCAGGGTGTTTGATCACATCAGGTTTCTCTTCTTCTGCTTCTGTTTCTTCCTCCCTGGAGCATAGTTTTGTTCCAGAGGAGGTTTCCAAAGCCTGATCTGTGCCAGTGCTTCTCTCTGCAGCCCAGGGTACTTCCCAGGATGATTGGGGGTGAATGTTTCCATCTCCTGCCTTTTTCTGTGTAGAATAGTCTTCTCTGGTGTTTGTTCCCTGGGCAAAAAATTTGCTGACTTCTTAAGATTAATTTATCCTATATTGCATCCTATTCCTGRCCACACCATTTGACACAGATCTGAAGCACTGCCTTTCAGTCCCTGCAAATGTGCTCAGAAATGCCCTGGTGCTGGTGTCAATCCCTTGCTGAGGTTGTTTTGTCCACATTGGTTTCTTTAGCCCCAAGAAATAACAATGCAGGGCTTGTTTAGGTGGTCACCCTGACCTCTCCTACTCCCTGACATGTTTCTTGCTCAACAGTGACAGCCACGTGTGCCTTGTGTGCAGAGCTGCCTGCAAATGCCAGATCAGCTTTGGTATTATCCTAAGCACTGGAGCAAATTCAGACACCTGACAGACCACCCTGTCAGTTTGATGGGCTCTGGAAGGTAGGCAAAGAAGGGATAAGGAGCCCAGGGCAATGGAAAGCCAGAGCTGGGAGCACACAGMAAAGTGTCTCCCTTGGTTTTTTATTATAGGTGCCTGTGCCTGATGTGGCTGGATGTGCTGGCCAAGAGATCTGGGGAAAAGATGTTTTGGGATTAATAAATAAAAGAGTTGCTAAATGAGTACTTCTTAGAACCACCTTTCCAAAGGATGCCAGGCTGGCAGGGATGCTCTGTGATCCACGATTAAGAAAAGAAGCTCTTCTGGCTTTAATAGACTTAGCAGGGAATAGCTTTACACTTCTTTGTACATAAGYGATGCTTAACTGTGCTAGGAAGTGAGGAATGTTTTGGTTTGTAGGCAATAGAGAATTGGCAGCAAACTTAAAAATGTTCTTTGGCCAACCACAAGCAATGTAAGCTTAATCTGCCTCAAAAACATGATCTCATCCATCTTTTTCACCCAAGGGAGGGAAGCCTTGGCTGTGAGGCTCAGGCTGAGCAGGAGGGAATGGTGCATGGTTTAGGCTGCAGTAAGGGAGTGCTGGGTTGCTGAGAGGTGGGATGGAGAACGAGATCATCCCCTCAATTTGAGGGTGTCCTTCCCTGTGTGACACTGTGACTTGTCAACAATCTAAGGAAGCAATGATTGGCAGAAGCTCTTTTCCTGAGCACCATCAGGAGCAGAGAGGGAGCTGTGGTACAGTCACACCTACTCCCACAAGTGCTGTTGTTCAGCTGTTTCTCTGGGTGTATCACTAGCTGRGACAGGGGACATCCTTGCACAAGTGTCCCGGTGTTACCCTGATCCTAAAATGCACCAGCTTCCCTGTCACAGTTCAGAGTTGTTTCCGTGTGCTTTCAGATGTAGATTGTTTCTATGGGGCTCTGAATCACATAGTGGGAAATGKAAAAGCAGTGTGAAAAGCCACTGTATGAGCTTCCCTCTCCCCACTGCCAAACCTGTGTCCTCTTTGGGAGGGAACCAGTTGTAGGTGCACTTCTTCCATGTTTTCACAAGGGTTTTGACAGGACAACGGGGAATGGCCTCTAACTGAAAGAGAGTTAGGTTCAGGTTAGATATTAGGAAGAAATTCTTCCCTGTGAGGGTGGTGAGGCAYTGGCAAAGGTTGCCCAGAGAAGCTGTGACTGCCACATCCTTGGAAGWGTCCTTGGCTACTAAGAGAATTTTTCCTCTGCTTTAGCTACTCTCTGATGATGMAAAGGCACTGAATGAAATCCTATAAGACTATCAAGAAGCTGATAAATGCAAGGTTTTGGGGTGTTGAACATATTATCAAGAAAAGTTTGCTCAGCAAATGACCCTGTGTTAGCTGAGCCCCA